CTGGAAATGTGTTTTTTGAAAGATATGAAGAATTCGGTAGTGTTTTGGTTTTAGACCAGTAAAAATTGTGTTTAAACTGGTGCTTTTGTGTTTTGTTTTGTTTTGAATTCAGAATACAGTTATGGCCACCCAGGTAATGGGGCAGTCTTCTGGAGGAGGAGGGCTGTTCAACGGCAGTGGCAACATTGGCATGGCCTTGCCTAACGACATGTATGACTTGCACGACCTCTCCAAAGCTGAATTGGCTGCTCCTCAGCTCATCATGTTGGCAAATGTGGCCTTAACTGGGGAAGTAAATGGCAGCTGCTGTGATTACCTAGTTGGCGAAGAAAGGCAGATGGCAGAATTGATGCCTGTTGGGGATAACAACTTTTCAGATAGTGATGGAGAAGGACTTGAGGAGTCTCCCGAAATAAAAGGTGAACCCCGTGGCCTGGAAAACATGGAACTGGAAAGTTTGGAACTCAGTGTTGCAGAACCACAGCCTGTGTTTGAGGTATCAGCTGCCCCAGAAATTTACAGCTCAAATAAAGAGCTTCCTCCTGAGACACCTGGAGCAGAGGACAAATCCAAGACCTTGAAGACCAAACCCTTTCGTTGTAAGCCGTGCCAATATGAAGCAGAATCTGAAGAACAGTTTGTGCATCACATTAGAGTTCATAGTGCCAAGAAGTTTTTTGTGGAAGAAAGTGCAGAGAAGCAAGCAAAAGCCAGGGAATCTGGCTCTTCTACTGCCGAAGAGGGAGATTTCTCCAAAGGCCCCATTCGCTGTGACCGCTGTGGCTACAATACCAATCGATACGATCACTATACTGCTCACTTGAAACACCATACTAGAGCTGGTGATAATGAGCGAGTCTACAAGTGCATCATTTGCACATATACCACAGTAAGCGAATATCACTGGAGAAAACACTTAAGAAACCATTTTCCAAGGAAAGTATACACATGTGGAAAATGCAACTATTTTTCAGACAGAAAAAACAATTATGTTCAACATGTTCGAACTCATACAGGTAAGAGGACCTTTGCAGTCCATAACTTCAACTCACTTCTGATAGTTAACTGAGTGGGTAGTTAACAGTAATGCTAAAAAGGGGGGGGGGGGGCTGGGTTCAAACCCTGATTCGATTATCTGCTGTCTTTGAACATGTTATTTATTCTCTGTGCCTCAGTTTCTCCATGGAGATAACTATACCATAGAATTAAAGGATCTAATGAGGAACACAAATCAAGTACTGACTGTTATATGGAAGAATATTCAAGAGAAATCTTACCAATGTTCTTTATAAAATACGTAACTCTAACAATTTGGGATAGACCATTTAGCCAGCTTAGACTACTGTTTTTGTTAGAAGATGTATTTAGTTGGCAGTGAATACATCTAGATGCATACAGTAGTTTCCCGAAGGAATTTAGGACTTTGATAAAAAAGAAAAAAACTAACCCTTGCCTAACCACATTTAACAGAGCCTCAAACTATTTAAAACATTTGACTTGGGATATTGAGCTCCTAAATGGAACAACTTGTCCCCAAAACACAGAAATGTGAGAATTTTTTCAAGTATTGGTGGCATTATCACTCAAATTATTTTCTTAAGAAAGCAACCACATGTGGAAAATGCAACTATTTTTCAAACAAAAAGTAATGTTCAACATATTTGAACTCATACAGGTAAGAGGACCTTTCTAATTTATAAGTGCCTTCTTTAAAAAAAAATGGAACAATCTTAAAAATAGAAACAATCGCAAACATCTCAAAAGAATGCTACACTCCACCAACATATACCCAACAGTTAGAAATATTTTGTCACACTTTGCAATTCATTTTAAAAAATAACAGCTTTATTGAGATATACTGTATTACCACACAATTCATCTATTTAAAGTTACGGTTCAGTGGTTTTAATATATTCACAGTGCTGGAGAGAATTATGCTAGGTGAAATAAGCCAGTCAGAGAAAGGCAAGTACCGTATCATTTCACTTAATATGTGGAATCTAATGAACAAAATAAACACAAATAGAAAACAGACACCATGGTAATTACCAGAGGGGAAGGATAGTGGGGGGCGGGGGGGGGTAGAAGAAGGTATGTGGGGCTTTCCTTGCCTTATAGCATGGTGAACATTTCTAAAACCTGCCAAACTTTCTGTAGGAAGTGTGGCAAGCATCAACCCCACAAAGTAACACAGTACAAGAAGTGCAAGGATTCTCTGTATGCGCAGGGAAAGTAGTGTTATGACAGGAAGCAGAGTGGCTATCCTGGGCAGACTAAGCCGATTTTCTGAAAAAAGGTTAAAACTACAAAGAAGATTGTGCTGGGGCTTGAATGTGTTGAGCCCAACTGCAGATCTAAGAGAATGCTGCCTATTAAGAGATGCAAGCATTTTAACTGGGAGGAGATAAGAAGAGAAAGGGTCAAGTGATCCAGTTCTAAGCTTCATATTTTGTTTTATTATATGACAATAAAATCTTGATATGTTCACTTCAAAAAAGAAATGGTATGTGGGGATAAATTGTGATGAAAGGAGACTTAGGGTGGTGAACATAATACATTTTACAGTTGATGTGTTAAAGAATTGTACACCTGGAACCTATATAATTTTATTAGCCCATGCTACCCCAATAAATTCAATTAAAAATGTATATTCACAGTGTTGTGCAGCCATCACCACTATCAATTTTAGGACATCTTCACCCAAAAAGAAACTCAATAGTCACTTCCCATTTCTCCTCAGTACCTCTTAATTGTTGGCTTTTAAATTTACTTTAACATTTTTGTAATTAGGAATCTCATTTTTTTCAAATAAATGTTTGTAACTATAGGTAGTTACTTTTTAAAACATATTTTTATTGATTTCATAGAGGGAGAAGGAAACCTTAATGAGAATCAGTGATTGGCTGCCTCCTGCACGCCCCCTACTGGGGATTGACCCTGCAACTCGGCTTGTGCCCTGACAAGAAGTGAACCCTGTCCTACTGGTTCATAGGTTGATGCTTAGCCATGGAGCCACAGTGGCCAGGCTGGTAGTTATTTTCATTTACATTACACTTTCCTGGTAAGGGTTGGTACTTTTGAGGTCTGATTACTGGTCTGAACAATCTAGTACTGTACTCTTGGGCCACAAGTGAAAAGGGGCTATTGGAATGCTGTTTGGTTGTAGGAGTTGTCTCTCTGTAGAACTGAATCCCCCAGGTGAAAGTGGGATACTGGGGAGGTAAGTTGATATTGCTTTGCGTAAGTGGTAGATTTTAAACTTGGAGGCGAAATTCCATTGAAGGAAAGAAGCCTGCAACAAGATTTCTTTTTTTAAAAAAATATATATTTTATTGATTTTTCACAGAGAGGAAGGGAGACGGGTAGAGAGTTGGAAACATCGATGAGAGAATCATTGATCGGCTGCCTCCTGGACGCCCCCTACTGGGGATATGCCCACAACCAAGGCACATGCCCCTAGCCGGAATCGAACCTGGGACCTTTCAGTCCGCAGGCCAACACTCCTTCCACTGAGCCAAACTGGTTAGGGCTGCAGCAAGATTTCTAAGCCCCAGCAGATGGCTTCTGCATTTAAAGTTTCAAAATCTAGTCAAGTAGCCTAGCCCGTGGCATTGCTCAGTGGTTGAGCATTGACCTATGAACCAGGAGGTCATGGTTCGTTTACAGGTCAAGGCACATGCCTGGGTTGCTAGCTCGATCTCCCCGGTGGGGGTGGGAGGGGAGGTGCAGGAGGCAGCTGATGAATAATTCTCTCTCATCATTGATGTTTCTATCTCTCCCTCTCTGAAATCAATAAAAAAAATATTTAAAAAATCTAGTCAAGTAAAAGAATTTGTAGTCCTTTGGAATTTTTTGTAACATAAATGAATGTCTCCATGCCAAAGCATTTTATTTCAAAACTAAAGAAGTTCAAACATTACAAAAATACTATAACTGAAGTACATGACTTTATGTGTACACCTTGATGAAGTTTTATGAATATATATACTCATAACCACCATGCAAATCAACGGAGACTATTACTAGCACCCCAGTGCCTTTGTCGTATTAAATTTTGGGGTTGGGGGAGGGCAGTTTCAGTTTGATAACTTCAGAACTGTTGGGTCACTGAACTGTTTAAAAGTGTCCCCCAAAGCTAAAACTGTTTTTTTTATTATTTTTTATTGAATTTATTGGGATGACACTGGTTAAAAAAAATTTAAAATGTTTTCAACAATAATCTAAATTGTTGATTTAACATTTTTAGAAGAAAAAAGAAAAGGAAGACAGTTGAAAAGATTTCAGTTTTTGTATATCCAATTTTTTGTGTAAAGAGTTATTTTAAAAATAAGAACTCTACTTTTTGCCATTCCTTAATTTTTATTGTAGTGGTTATTTTAATCTAGTTATAGTGTAGGTCAGTGGTTGGCAAACTCATTAGTCAACAGAGCCAAATATCAACAGAAATTTCTTTTGAGAGCCAAATTTTTTAAACTTAAACTATATAGGTAGGTACATTGTTATTAACTTAATTAGGGTACTCCTAAGGCTTAGGAAGAGCCACACTCAAGGGGCCAAAGAGCTGCATGTGGCTCGCGAGCCGCCGTTTGCCGACTACGGGAATAGGTGACTAATTTTTAATGGCTATATTTTATGTAGTTATACCATCCATTACTTAACATTTTCTCCACATTAATTTGAGGTTGATATTTTCACAATAAGATTATATATTACATAGCTAACACTGGTTGTATGGATTTCACATTTTATTGTCAAACCGATTTGGTCTTTGTGCTTTCTAAAAAGATTTTTCCATCCTATTACCTTGTGATTTTTATTTTATTTTATTTTTTTGAGAATTTTTATTTGAGCCCACACTGATGACAGTTACTGGGAAGCAAGATCTCCAATGCTTCTTACCTTTTGATTAAAAAAACCCACAATTTGGTGGTATATAAATGGAAGGGTAATTTGATTATGTAAATTCTGAGAGTATTTCTGCTATTAAACATGGCTCTAAATACTGTATGTCTGAAAATAAATTAATCTAGTGCTGAACAGTAGAGATAAGAAATGGCAGCAGAATCACTTATTTCTCATTAGGTAGTCTAGTTTTCAGAGTAAATGAGTTTCTTCTTTTATTGAGTAATCAATGCTAGGCACTTTATTCTATTCTATGCTAATCTTAGGACAACCCATTAATGAAACAGGTTTGCCAGACATTAGCCTTTGATTACTTACTGAGAGGAAAACTTCTGGTTTAAAAGCTTGAAGTGCTGGGCCCGTCACATACAAGAGATTTGAAATCTGAATCTCTTTATAGGTAATTAGTATGGTGGGGATGAGGATTGTTTTCATTAGTCTTAAATAAAAAGATTTTTAATGTTATGGCTTAGATATTTAACCAGTTCACAAATTGTACTTTATTTTTTATTTTATATTGATTTTTTAGATTGAAAGGAAGGAAGAGAGAGAGAGACTGAGATTGAGATTGATTTGTTAGACCCATCTTTGCATTCATTGTGCCCTGCCTGGGATCAAACAAGCAACCTTGATATAGCTGGACAACATTCTAACCTACTGAGTTACCTGGTCAGGGTCACAAATTCTTCTTTAAAAGATGACATTTTTGCCTGTATGTGTGACTGAAAAATCACTGTTTTGTAGATTGTGCCTATAGTATAGAATTGCACAGATAGAATCAATCTATTTTGTTATAAAGAAATTAAAAGTAAATTATTCTTTATTGATTCTTCATGTTAATCTACACTAGTATTTAATTTTATTTCATTAACTTTCAAAATAACAGCTTAATAGAATTTACATGCCATACAGTTCACTATGGATAGGCCTGTTCTGGACATTTCATATATAAGGTATCCTCAAAAAATGTATACACACTGAGTAATTATAAAGACAGTGTTTATTTACATATATTTCATTTTCAAAATTGAGCTATGAGCTGTTAAAGTGTGTATACATTTTTGGGGGGACACCCTGTATATGGAATCATTCAATATGTGGTCCTGTGTGATTACCTTTTCCCCCTTAGCAAAATGCTTTCAAAGTTCATTCATATTGTATGTACAATACTTATTTTCCTTTAATTGCCATATAATTTTTGATGGGCACACAACATTTCTTTTTATTTATTTTTTTAAAATATATTTTACTGATTTTTTTACAGAGAGGAAGGGAGAGGGATAGAGAGTTAGAAACATCAATGAGAGAGAAACATCAATCAGCTGCCTCCTGCACACTCCCCAGGATGTGCCCGCAACCAAGGTACGTGCCCTTGACCGGAATCGAACCCGGGACCTTTGAGTCTGCAGGCTGATGCTCCATCCACTGAGCCAAACTGGTTAGGGCACAACATTTCTTTTTAAATTTAAATTATTTATTATTTATTACACATGTCTCCTTGGGTATACAACATTTTGTTTATGCATTCATCAGTTAATGGAGTGTTTGGTTTGTTTACACTTTCTGGCTATTATAAAAGATGCTATTATGAACATTTCTTGAACAAGTTTTTGTGTGGACAGAAGTTTTTTTTAACCTATCTATCTATATGGAATTGCTGTGCTGAATAGGTAACTAACCATGTTTAAACATATGAGGAACTGCCAATTATTTTCTGAAGTGGCTGCATTAATTTTACAATCCCAGTAATGTATAAGGGTTTCAATTTCTCCACATCCTGCCACTTTGATTGTAGGCAACCAAGTGGGTATGAAGTCTTCATCTTATTTTGATTTGCATTTCCCTCATGGCTAATGATATTGTGCATCTTTCCATTTTCTTATTGGCCATTTGTGGATATTCTGTAAAGAACTACCTTTTTTTGTTGTTGTTAAATTAAATTTTTATTGTTCAGATTATTAAAGTTGTTCCTCTTTTCCCCTCATAGCTCCCCTCCATCTGGTTCCCACCCCACCCTCTGCCCCCGCCCCCACTGTCCTCATCCATAGGTGTACGCTTTTTGTCCAGTCTCTTCCCACACCCCCCACATCCCTTTCCCCCCTGAGAATAGTCAGTCCACTCCCTATCTATGCCCCTGATTCTATTATATTCACCAGTTTATTCTGTTCATCAGATTTTTTTATTCACTTGATTTTTAGATTCACTTGTTGATAGATATGTATTCGTTGTTCATAATTTGTATCTTTACCTTTTTCTTCTTCTTCTTAAAGGATAA